TGACACTTGGGCATCCAAAGGCCTCAGAGCAGCAAGAACCATCCCCTTACCAGCTGCCCTGGCCAAAGTCAGCATCTCCCTCTCTGCAATGGCCTCAGCCATTACAGGTGCTAACAGAGCCTGCTGAGTGTCAGGAGCAATGTGGCTGTCCTCCTCCTCCTGAATGGGATGTCCCAGAGCACTCTGTGAGCCCCTTGGAGTGTGAGCCACTTGGAGCTCTGCATTTCAGGCTACGACCACTGTAAAACCTGCAATTGGGAGACTAAGGTATGGACATCTGTCACTATTAGCATTACCCAAAATTGAAACAAGTATAGAGATTAATCAGGGAAAGGCCTTCTGATATACTTTTTTAATTTTAGGGAAATGATGTCAGTGTGGGAATGCAGAGGATGTAGAGCAAGCACATGACCTTGGGAAGAGAAAATACTTTTAAAAAATCCAGGACTGGAATGCATGAAGCCCTGGGTTCAATTCCTCAGTACACATAAACAGAAAAAGGCCCAAGACTGGCAAAAAAAAAAAGACTGGGAGCTGGTGACTTACATCTGTAACTTACCTACTCAAAGAGGCTGAGGTGTGAGGGTCATGGTTTGAAGCCAGCCAGGGAAGACAAGGCAATAAGTCTTCATCTCCAATTAACCAGCAAAAAGTACAGGGTTAGAGGCCCTGGTGTTGGTACAATCCAATACAAAACAACAACAAAAACAACTTTAGACTGTTGTTCTAGATACTTGTATCTTGATTCCTATTTCGCCCATTTCTAACTTAAAAATTATGTTTTCTATTTTATTTTTTGGAGATGAGTTTCTTTTGTTTATTTTTATCTGTGTAATGCTTTTAGCTGTTAGTATATAGTTCTAATTTACATTAGGATGCAGTATTTCCCAATTTAGCTATAGGAAATGATTCTTTGTCTAAAAAGAGATGTACCTGACTAATGTAATTGTAACCCCTATATATATATCACTTTTATAATAAAAATAAATGATTCTTTTAAATTTATTTTTTGTTTGACAGTCTCATACTAACTTTTGGGTAGTTAATTCATATGCTACTGAGAAACATTTTACTGTAGTTGTGGATTTTTCAGTGTTTCCTTATTTATTTTGCCAGTCCTGGGGCTTTAACTAAGGGCCTGGGCACTGTCCCTGAGCTTCTTTTGCTCAAGACTAACATTCTACCACTTGAGCCATAGGGCCACTTCCAGTTTTCTAGTGGTTAATTGGAGATAAGAGTCTCACCGACCTTCCTGCCCAGGCTGACTTTGAACTGCAATCCACAGATCTCAGTCTCCTTAGTAGTTAGGATTACAGGCATGAGCCACTGGCACCCGGCTTCCTTCCTTATATTTTTATAAGCTTTGGCTTCATCTTTTTTCCTGTCTTCAGCTATATATCTTTGAAACTTATTATATTTCCCCAGTGATAGGACCTTTCTACTGCTTTCATCTGGCCACTCTATTGTGGCAGGTGCCAGTGGTTCATGCCTGTAGTCCTAGCTAACTCAGTGTGGGAGGGCTTCAGAGCTAGGGCAGGAAAGGCCACCAGACTATGTAAGGAAGCCAGTGCCAAAAAGGAATTCATGTATGTGCATCATGTAAAGCCCTGAGTCTTTGGTCCTGGTTTATTACTAGAATGTTATTGCCAAGCAGGCCAGAGGACTTGGCAATGAGCCTCTTTTGTGCTATTTTATAAGGCAGGTGGGTTGATCCCTTGGGACATAAGGACACACAGACACATGCACCTGTATCATGCTGGTGCTTACAATAAATACTTTAGCGTGTGATTGCCTCCAGCTGCCCAGGTTTTCTTGCTGAAATGTTTAGCTGAAACTGTTCAATCTAACATACTGACCTAATGGCAGTGGAGCCATCTACTCTCCTGAAAAACTCATATAGTCAGCAGGGTGGGTCTAAAAGGGTGCCCACGGAAGCATGGGGAAAATCTGGCAGTAATGCTGGCTGCCCTGGAAAATGCAACCCCTGTTTGGAGATGCTCCCAAAAGAACAACGGAATTGGGCTGGGAAGGTGACTCAGTGGAAGAGTGTTGCCTTGCATACATGAGGCCCTGGGTTCCATTCCTCAGCACCACATAATCAGAAAAAGCTGGAAGTGGTGCTGTGGCTCAAGTGGTAGAGCACTAACCTTGAGCTGAAGAGTTGAGGGACAGTGCCGAGGCCCCAGGACTGACAACATCGGAATTAAGTGTGCTTGGTGGTGGTTACAAAATGCAGAAAATCATCCTTGCCAGACAGCACTGGAGGCAAAGGTAATCAAGTTTGAAAAGCAAACTTGTGGGCCCACTGTCTCCAGCTGGTCACATATACAGCCTGACCAGAGCAGAGGGGTTATGAGACTTGGCTAAACAGAAACTATGTGAATCTATGATGCCTTGGCAATTACACCTTTGTGACAGTGGAACAGATATATTGAGGAAAGGCAGCACTTAAGCAATACCAGTCACCCAACTTTTCTGGAGTCTAAACAAAACATAGTGAGGTTAGTGCCTAATGATGTAAAGGCCTCCCTCCTCTGCCAAGTTGGCACATAGGATGTGTGGACTAATAAAGAAGAGTTGCCTATTGCTATTTTTAAATGGTCATCATATACTAACTTGGTATAAGCACAACAAAGAATATGCTTGTGGTATAGTTTCTGAGACAAACACAAAACAACCAAAAAATAAAACAACAAAAAAATCCCCACCAAACCCCAAAGTCAATAGCCAATCAGAGCTCAACCAAAAGCAGGCCTTAAGTGTCCTGCCTGATGATGTGGCGACATCTAGTGGTGATGGTCGACATAGCTAGGCAATCAACTGCTGTGTTTTTGTTTTGTTGGTTGTTGGTCTGGAACTCTGGACCTGGGTGCTGTCCTTGAGCTCTTCTGCTCAAAATGAGTGTTCTACCGCTTGAGCTACAGCTCCACTTCTGTTTTTCTGGTGGTTAACTGGAGTTAAGAGTCTCTCAGGGGGGCTGGGAAGGTGGCTCAGTGGTAGAGCGCTTGCCTTGCATGCATGAGGCCCTGGGTTCGATTCCTCAGCACCACATAAGCAAAAAGAAAAAAGCCAGAAGTGGTGCTGTGGCTCAAGTGGTAGAGTGCTAGCCTTGAGCTGAAGAACTGAGGGACAGCGCCCAGGCCCAGAGTTAAGGCCCACGACCAGACCTCCCCCCCCAAAAAAAAAAGTCTCTCAGACGAGATCCTCAGATCTCAGTCTCCTGAGTAGCTAGGATTACTGGTGCCCAGCATTTTTTTTCTTTTTAATTGTGAAATGATCTCCCCAAGGCGGTGCCATTGGTTCATTCCTGTAATCCTAGCTACCAGGAAGTTTGAGATCTGAGCATCCCAGTTTGAAGCCAGCCCTGGGAGGAAAGTCCTTGAGACTCCTATCTTCAATTAATAATAATAATAATAAAAACCCACAAGTGGAGTGGTAGTTCAAGCCATAAAACACTAGCCTTGATTAAAAACACTCAGGAACAGTACCCAGACCTCGAGTTTAAGCTCTAGCAATCACACACACACACACATACACGCACACATATACGCCCCCCCCCCCACACCCCTTTACCAGGAACAAATATATATTAAAGAAGGGAAGAAAAAGACCCATCCAATAACTCTGCAGGACTTATCAGGAAAAAGACTGGTGGGATGGTCAGGATATATGGCAGGAAATCCCATGATTCCCTAAGGCCTCATGTGGCCCCATTATATTTGCTGCCACGAAAAGGTGCTACTTGGGAGTGGACAGATGTTAAATATTAAACACACTGCCTTTGTCAAGGCTAAACAGGCTCCCACAGGTGAGCCACTGGATTGGATAGGAGCTATGGCAGCAACAGGATGGTATGTAAATGCCTACTGGATTCTTGCCTCAGTTAAAAAAAAAAAAACGGAGTAAAAGTATACCTAAGTAGGGGCTGGGAATGTGGCTTAGGGGTAGAGTGCTTGCCTAGCATACATGAAGCCCTGGGAGTCCTCAGTACTACATAAACAGAAAAAGCCAGAAGTGGTGCTGTGGCTCAAGTGGTAGAGTGCTAGTCTTGAGCACAGAGAGATTCAAACAGTACCCAAGCCCTGAGTTCAAACCCTAGGATTGGCAAGTCAATGACAACTAAAATTATACCTAAATAGAGCAAGAATTAACTGCACTCAGCTCCGATAGACATAGAACCTCTAACACACAAAAAACTGAGGTATGCTGGGTGCCTGTGGCTCAGGCCTATAATCCTAGCTTCTCAGGAGGCTGAGATCTGAGGATCACAGTTCAAAGCCAGCCAGGCAGGAAAGTTCATGAGACTCTTTTTTTTTTGGGGGGGGGGGGGAGTCCGGTCATGGGGCCTGAACTCTGGGCCTGGGCGCTGTCCCTCAGCTCTTCAGCTCAAGGCTAGCGCTCTACCACTTGAGCCACAGCGCCACTTCCGGCTTTTCTCTTTTTGCTTATGTGGTGCTAAGGAATCGAACCCAGGGCCTCATGCATGCAAGGTAAGCGCTCTACCACTGAGCCACCTTCCCAGCCCCCAGGAAAGTTCATGAGACTCTTATCTCCAATAAACCACCAGAAGACTGGAAGTGACACTGTGGCTCAAGTGGTAGAGCACTAGCCTTGAATACAAAACGGCCAGGAACAGCAACCAGGCCTTGAGTTCAAACCCTAGGACCAGTACACCAAAAACAAACAGGGGCTGGAATTGTGGCTTAGTGGTGGAGTGCTTGCCTAGCATGCATGAGGCCCTAGGTTCAATTCTTTGGTATCACATAAACAAACAAAAAAACCCATTAAATAAATCAACAAACAAACAAAACTACCCCACAATTGGCTGCAGTTTTGGGAATTTACTTCTGAGAAATAGAAAATATCAAATATAGAAATGGATTCTAATTTATATCAGATAGATCTTCATTACCACTTTCTATCTGGTATAGAGACAAAAGTTGCTATAGTATCTGGCCCCTTTGGCTAGCCAGAAGGCACAAAAAAAGTCTTTGGAAGTCGCCCGAGGGACCACCGCCCCCGCCACGCCATGGCCGAGAGCGACTGGGACACCGTGACGGTGCTGCGCAAGAAGGGCCCCACGGCCGCGCAGGCCAAGTCCAAGCAGGCCACCTTAGCGGCTCAAAGACGAGGTGAAGATGTGGAGACATCCAAGAAATGGGCTGCTGGCCAGAACAAGCAGCATTCAATCACCAAGAACACAGCCAAGCTAGACCGGGAGACAGAGGAGCCGCACCACGACAGGGTGACCCTGGTGGTGGGCAAGGTGATCCAGCGAGGCCGGCAGAGCAACGGGCTGACGCAGAAGGACCTGGCCACGAAAATCAATGAAAAGCCTCAAGTCATTGCAGACTATGAGAGTGGACGCGCCATCCCGAATAACCAGGTTCTGGGCAAAATCGAGAGAGCTATTGGCCTCAAGCTCCCGGGGAAAGGACATCGGAAAGCCCATCGAGAAGGGGCCACGGGCGAAATGAGCACAAAGCCTCGAAGCCAGTGCGTTCCGGCTGAGCTCTTCTGGTTGGTCCCTGACCACCAGCACTGCTGTGGGTCTCCCAGGTGGTGGAGTGGAACATGGGGGCAGGGCGTGGGCCCCCTTGACCTGCTGTCAAACAAAGCAAAAGTCTTTGGAGAAAATGTCCAGTAAACAAAGTTATGGGCAATGTGTCACATAGTTAAACAGGAGTCTCCTATACTTATCACCATTGATAGCTAGGCTGTATACAAAGGATTGATGGTGTAATGACCCCAAGGAAAAAGCAAGAAATGGCACATGAGGAGAGGCATGTTATAAAAAGTAGATCAGAGCTGGGAAGATGGCTTAGTGGTAGAGCGCTTGACTTGCATTGAAGCCCTGGGTTCAATTCCTATTGAACCCAGGGCCTAAGCAAAAAGAAAAAAAACGGAAGTGGCGCTGTGGCTCAAGTGGTAGAGTGCTAGCCTTGAGCTGAAGAGCTGAGGGACAGCACCCAGGCCCAGAGTTCAGGCCCCACAACCGGACCCAAAATAAAAAAAAAAAAAGTAGATCAATCGCAGGATTTATGGGACTAAGGCCTTGGTCTACAAGTGCCCCTGGAATTAAGAGGCAGATGCTCCGTCCAAAATTCATGAATGACAGAACAGTATAAAGGGATACTAAAGGGACAATTACAAATAAGAGCATGGGAACTCCTATTTTGGAATAATGTCATGTGCTCTCTCAATTAACAGACAGAGTGGGACAGACTTACCCCCTTGGATTAAATTATGGTTCTTGTTAGGCTACATATAAAAAGGAATATGGAGGGAATGTGGCTTAGTGGTAGAGTGCTTTCCTAGCATGCATGAAGCCTTGGGTTCCATTCCTCTGTACCATATACACAGAAAAAGCCGGAAGTGACATTGTGGCTCAAGTGATAGAGTGCTAGCCTTGAGCAAAAGAAGCTCAGGGACAGTATTCTGGCCCTGAGTACAAGCCCCAGGACTGGCAAAAAGAAAAGAAAAAAAAAGGAATATGGAAAGGCTACCTACCCCGAAACAAAGTCAGGAACTGCTTCTAACACTTTCTGCTCTATCTGCTGTCTGTAAAGATAGGCCCAAGGATGGGCCATGACCATGAAAAGTACATGGTCCCTCAGCTCCATGGGTTGTAATATTGTGGCATACACAGAGGGCTTGGAACATGAGTTTTGTATATTAGGTCCTATTGGCTTATAGCCTCAGCCAATGACTGATGGCTGTTACCGGGACTGCCATTCTGAAGAGGACATATGTGAGGTAACAGAGTCTTCTTTCTGTGCTATCTGTACACATGCAATCCCTAAAGCTCCCCAACATGTGCAGTCAACGTGTTTGAAAACAGAACAGTGACAAAAGGAGTAGTGTCCTCAGCTTTGTGATCCTTTTGTTTTTCTTTTTTTTGGTCGGTCATGAGGCCTGAACTCTGGGCCTGGGCGCTGTCCCTCAGCTCTTCAGCTCAAGGCTAGAGCTCCACCACTTGAGCCACAGCACCACTTCCGGCTTTTTCTGCTTATTTGGTGCTTGCCTTGCATGTATGAGGCCCTGGGTTCAATTCCTATTGAACCCAGGGCCTCATACATGCAAGGCAAGCACTCTATCACTGAGCCACCTTCCCAGCCCCTGTGATCGTTTTTGACAGGTTTTTTTTTTTTTAGCCCAGACTGACTTCAAAGTTCCTTAGCCTTCTTAGTGCTAAAGACAACAGGTGTGTACCACCATATCTGGTTGCTCTACTATTTAATTTCACATAGTCTATTAACTTCGATTTCTCTCTCTTTCTCTCTCTCTCTCTCTCTCTATCTCTGCTTTCCTTTGTGCTGATGAGTAAGGTCTCCCTGGAGGAAGAATTTATAAAGGAGTATCCAGAATATTAGTAATCAAGATGAGTAATCTTTTATCTAAAAAATCAATATCAATGCATCAATAAAACCCCATAAAGAACAAAATGTCAAACGACAAGATCTAACAGTAACATACAAAAAATGGGAGCCTGAGGCCAAAGGAAAACTATGCCTTTCTACCTATGTGTTTTTACTGTTTTATATTTTTTTTACGATAATTATTTTGGGTAGTGTGATAGACAAGGTAAAATTAAATGGAATAGAACATAAACATGGAGATATAACAATGAAACCCTCCCCTGTAAAACTGTTATAAGCCAATAAAATACATGGTTATTTCAAAAATATTTTTTTCAGATCCTTAAAGTAGTTTCAGAAAAGTATTGAAAATGAGGATGAATATAGTTGAAGTAGATTATTTGCAATTATTACCACAGAACAATGAAATTTGTTGAAGTCGTTTAGAAAAGGGGGAAGGGAGAGAGTGATAGAAAGAGAGAGTTTGATTAGACTAGATTGTATACATGTGTGGAAATGTTACAATGAAATCTCTCCCTGTATAACTTACATATGCTAATAAAAATTCTATTGAAAAAAAAAACAGCCAAAGTAGAGTTATGGAACATCTAGCTGAGAAATCAAATCAAATTCTTTCAGGTAACAAGAAATGCAAATGCCAAACTTCCCTAGAGAGTTTTCTCATTTTCCCACTGAAACTAAACTAAAAATGACATGGCTAGAATATGTGTGTGTGTGGGGGGGGGGGTGGCTAGATAATACCCCATGGCAGAGCATCTGCCAAACACGTATAAGCCCTTCGATTCCAATCCCAGCACAAAAAAGCCAAATCATGAGGCTGGGAAGGTGGCTCAGTGGTAGAGTGCTTGCCTTGCATGCCTGAGGCCCTGAGTTTGATTCCTCAGCACCACATAAGCAAAAAGAAAAAAGCCGGAAGTGGCGCTGTGGCTCAAGTGGTAGAGCACTAGCCTTGAGCTGAAGAGCTGACGGACAGTGCCCAGGCCAGAGTTCAGGCCCCACGACTGGACCCCCCCCCCAAAAAAAACCACACAAAAAACCCAAACCAAACAAAAATAACACGGCACAATGGAGCTTGTTGGCTTGATCAAGATTCAGGTGAGCTGGGTATATGTAGTCAGTAATATCAGCTACTTGGAAGGCTGAAGCAAGAAGCTACTTGAGCCCAGGAATTCAAGACCAGTCTGGGAAACTTTATTTAAAAAAATATTATTGAGATTAAGTGATTACATAAATTTCACAAACTTTACAGTATTGTGAGATAGTGATAAAGTCACAAACACATTTTAACCTTCACAAGGCAAATTGTCATTATCATGGTCTATAATGTTTGTAAATTCTATGAGCTTTGACAATACAACTATTTCTTCCACTCAGGTGATTTGTACATTTCTTTCCTTTTGCTTAGTGTGAGCTGTTCCACACACACACACACACACACACACACACACACACACACACACACACACACGGTCAAGAGCATAGAGTCATTTAGTAATGATATGACAAATTGAGTGAAGGTCCTTTGTTTCTTGAGTACTGTTTACTTTGTCATATCTCCTTGCATTTTGGATTTAACACCCACATGTAGGGAGACCATGTGCCATTTGTCTCTTTGTTCTTGGCTTACCTCACTCAAAATGATTTTTCTAGCTCCATCCATTTCCTTGCGAATGCCATTATTTTGTTCTTTCTAATGGCTGCATAACATTCCATTATGTATAGATGCCACAATTTTTGGATCCATTCATCTGTAGTGGAGCATCTGGGTTGTTTTCATATCTTGGCTATTGTGAACAGTGCTGCAATGAACATGGAGGAGCACGTGTCCTTGTTTTCATATCTTGGCTATTGTGAACAGTGCTGCAATGAACATGGAGGAGCACGTGTCCTTGTATATTGGTTCCTGTTGCTTGAGGTAGATGCCTAGGAGTGGTATGGTTGGGTCATAGGGGAGGTCTATATTTAGCCTTCTGAGGTAATCCAGACTGCTTTCCAGAGTGGTTGTATTAGTGTACATTCCTACTAGCAGTGAATAAGGTCCCACTTTCTCCATATCCCCTCCAGCATTTGTCATTGGCTGAATTTAGGATGTGGGCCATTCTGACTGGGGTAAGGTGGCATCTCAGTGTTTTGTTTTGTTTTTTATTGCATTTCCTTTACAGCCAGGGATGATGAACATTTCCTCATGTGTTTCTTTGCTATTTTTATCTCTTTCTCTGAGAAGTCTCTCTTTAGTTCCCTTGCCCTTTTACTAATTGGTTTGTTAGGTTTGGGAGGGATTAGATTATTCCCTGTATATAATGGATATTAGGCTCTTGTCTGATATATTGCTGGTAAATATTTTTTTCCGAATTAGTTGGATGTCTCTCTAGTTTGGTAGCTATGTCTTTAGCTGTGTAGAAACTTCTCATTTTAAGGCAATCTTATTTGTTGAGTCTCTCTCCAACTTGTTGTGACCCTGGGACTCTGTTCAGGAAGTCCCTGCCTGTGCCTATAAGTTCAAGTGTCTCTCCTACTCTGTCCTGTAGTAGTTTCAGAGTTTCAGGCTTGAGGTTAAGGTCTTTCATCCATTTTGAGTTGATGTTAGTGCATGGTGACAGGCTGGGGTCCACTCTTAGTTTTCTGCATGTGGCTGCCCAGTTTTCCCAGCACCAGCGGTTGAAGCGGCTGTGCTTCCACTGTAGGTCTTTGGCTCCTTCCAGTCAGGGAAACTTTACGTTCCTCTCTCAAGACGCAACAACTCAGTAGACCCAGCAAAGACATTTTCCAATGAAGGGGCTGGGAATATGGCTTAGTGGTAGAGCGCTTGCCTTGGGTTCAATTCCTTAGTACCACATACACAGAAAAAGCCAAAAGTGGTGCTGTGCCTCAAGTGGTCAAGTGCTAGCCTTGAGCAAAAGCAGCTCAGGGACAACACCCAGGCCCTGAGTTCAAGCCCCAGAACTGGCAAAAAACAAAAACAAAAAAGTCCAAAATTGTTGATTTCTTTTAAAAAGTATGTTTAAAATAGCTAACCTAATTGGATTTTTAGAGAAGTTAACTAACACTGGTCATGTACAGCTCCTAAGAGAAAGTGACTTCTAGGTGGCATTGCTTATTATAAGACAATTGAAATATGAGACTTTGAGACTGTCAAAGCAGAAGACAAAAAATAAGAAAACCTAAAAGCACATGAAGGGATAGGTGTGGAACCTC